GCCGAGGCGTCACCTCGCTCAGCTCTGGCGGCGACTTCGGGTCCCTGGGATCCTGAGGCGCGGTCGGAGCGACGGACACTCCTTCCAGCCGCTGCAGCCCTGCGCAGAGCCGGACCTCTCCTTGGACCCTCGTGGCCGCCCCATTTTGGTTGGGGCATTTCCATCCTGGGATCTTGATGCAGGATGTTCCGGGGAGATGGTTTCTCAGAGCCGACGAACCGAGGTGGTATGGCCGCTGTCATGTCGGCCAGAAACCCTGGAAGTCCTCGTGTGTTGGCGCTCACTCCGCCACCGACTCTGTCGAGGGCGCAGGATATCTAGAGGAGGGACGATGTGCTCAGGAAGCAGGGTTAGGTTGGAATTCTAAGGGGCGTGCTTAGGTCCGCTCCTGGTTAACATGTGCATGTCTGCAAGCCGCTGTAGAACAGTGATAATCGAAGATAGGTGGGTGTTTGGACAGATTATTTTTCTCTGTAGATTTGCAGCATTGCTCTTTTGTAGTGAACATGCTTTCTGTATGTCTGTAGTTTCGAACCTAACATCTTGACAGCTGAGATCACTGTGACAGGTATTAATGAGATACACTTGTTTTGATTTGGACAGTGAAATCGGGAATTTATGTGGGTTGTGCTGTCTTTTCTCTGGTGGCAGATGTAATCAGCTTTTATCGGTGGGAAATTTAGCTGTGTATATTGGGCTTAATTACTTTGTATTTTCGCACTTATGAAAATGGGGGAAGTTGTGCTACTTATTTTTGCCTGAGGTTTTATAAGCGCAAAATGTGTGTGTATGTGTGTGTGTGTGTTTGTACATAAACGACCCTTAGATCACTTAGTACAGTATGTGTCGGGCATGTAGAAAATGCTACAGGTTGTTGTTACATTTATTTATTTTAGTTTTTTAGAGACAGGCTCTAGCCATGTATTTCAGGCTGGCCTTGAACTTGCAGTCATCCTCCTGCCTCAGTCTCTGGAGTGGGATCACAGGTGTGCATCCTCATGCCTCACTGTATTAGCCTCGATTTATTTGCTTTGTTTTTGCTATGTTGGAACACCTATTATCAGAAGACATAACAGCTTTTTAAGCCTTTGCAAAATTCTTAGACTTAGGCTTAGAATTAACTTCTTCAGCTCTGAACTGGAGATAAACAGTGGTACCTATCCTATATACTGCTTGCATTATCTATTGCAGTTTAATAAACCAAACAGGCTGGGATATAGCTCACAGGGAGAGTGCTTGTCTAGCACACTCAAGGTCCTGGTCTTGATCCCCAATACTGCAAACAAAACAACTCAATCCCCATCACCCAACTTAGTGGTATGAACAAACAGTATATCTTACCAAATTCTCTTACTCTTTTTGTTGCTGAGACAAAATATCTGACACCCCAAATTAAAGGAAGAAAGGTTTATTTTGGCTCACGGTTTGTAGAGCTTTCAGTCCACAGTTGGCTGGCAGGGTGGCATGGGAGAGTGGCATTGAAGAGGAGAAACAGTTCATGACAGGCAGAAGGCAAGAAGGCAGGAAGGCAGCGAAGTAGCAAGTGACAGCAGGGGAGTGTATGGGTTGACTGAGCTGCTTTTCTGATCTTACCTGGGTCCACTCATGCAAATAGTCAGCTGACACTTCACCTAGAGCTAGAGTCCTGTACATATCTGACTGTTGTTTTTGTCTCTTTCCACACAGACTCTCATTTAGTAGTTTTGGTAGGGCTTTCTTCCTGAGCCTGTTCAACAGAGGGAGTGGAAACTGGAGTCTCTTAAGGCTGGCCCGGGAAACCTACATAAGTTCTCTAATGTTGCCAAAATGGAGCCACAGAACCAGCTCAGGTCTTTATTGAGTTAATCCTATGGCAGTATGATGTGCTTGATTATGGAGGGTATCCAGAGGAGTCTGCAGGCCTTTGGATTATGACTATTTCATTTTACAAGAAGTTGATAATACTGCGAGACCTCTTATCTACCTCTACCTGTAAGAGAAACTATTTTCGGAAAAGAAAATAGATTGTCCTCTGTTCCACAGACTTTCGATTAGAGCTTTCTAGTAGTAAAGTGGAATAGAACTGTCAAAATGGTGGAGAAACACATACATGTAATGGCAAACAAGACTGGATGACATCAGAGGCCCCTCTAACTGAGATGCTCTGGTTCTCTGTTAATCCCCTACAATAGTGTTAGTGGTTTCTAAATTTAGAGTAGATGTTGATAACACCTAAAACTTACTATATCTTCAACAGAACATTTCTTTCTTTTACAAATTTTTAACAAGCAAGTGAAAGCATTTGTATTACATATGAAAAAACTGAATACTGTACAAAGATGAAATATACTCTGAGTTCAGGTAATGAATCTAGAATAACCCTATGTCTGCTTGCCTCAGAGCCCCCAACTCTAAACACATATTTTTACCAAATTGAATTACTAAATTTCAGATAGATAGATAGATCAGCCTAGAATGCCTGACTTCCCCTACTCTTTCCCACTGTCACTAAATTGAATCATTTCAAATGCTTAAGAGATTACTAGAGATTATTTCTCTGTCCTAAAAATTGTATTAACACTTAGCTATTTTTGATTTTCAGAAGCCTCATTATGATGTGTATGTGCAGGTTTGTTTTTATTTCTCTGTGTCACTTAGCTTTTGCTGTGAAATAAACCACTCCAAAAGCCTAGTGGCTGAAAACAGCAATCTTATCCTGTATTTATCTTGCAGCTCTTTAGGTTAGTACCTCAGATTGAGCCTGCTGTCTAGTTCTCTTCCTCCAATGGCCTTGATTCCACTGGGCTTCTGAGGGTACCTGGGCAGCTGCGAGCCAGGTGGGTGTTGCTGGCTGGCCTCTGAGGGCGCTGCATGTCCCATTGACCAGGAAGGTAGCCTGCTTGTTCATGGGCCAGCAGGAGGGCTCCTAGGCCTGAGACACATTCCAGTGCTCTCTGGGTCTAGACTCAGAACCAACCAGCTGCTCATTTTTACCAAATTCTACTGGTCAAACAAGCATAGGATTTAGAGGTGGAGAAATAAACTCTACCTTTTGATGTGAAGAGCTACAAAGTCACATTGCAAAAAAGTATGGATACACAGAGTTAAAGAATTGAGATCACTTCTTGTAAATACTCTATCAAGTTATCCTGGTTCATCTCTAAGTTTCTTGATTCGATGGATTCTTTCAACAGTTCTGAGTGTTTTCAGCTACTTTTCTTCAAATGTTGCTGCTCTCCCATCCTGTTTTCTTCTCTTGGCTTCAGAGAAATGAATTAGGCTCACTTTCAGGAATCCTGTGTCTCTCTGTTGTGTGTACTTTTCATTTCATTATTTTATTTTAGATAAGTTCTTCAGCTGCCTTCTTAGCAGTTCTTCAGCTGTGTATAATCTGCTGTTAAGTACTTCATTGAGTTTTTACATTTGTTTACAACATTTTTATTTTTATTTTTTGAAACAGAGTCTCCTTATGTAGTTCAGGCTGACCTTGAACTCTGTGGCCAAGGCTGGCCTCAAACTTGAGGCAATCCTCTTTCCCTCAGTCTCCTGAGTGCTGGGATTACAGGTGTGTGCCACCATGCCCAGCTTGTTTACAACATTGTTAGTACTATACTTTTTGTTATGCTTTTTAAGACAGGTCTCACTATGTAGTTCAGACTGACCTTGAACTCATTATGTAGTCGAGGCTGGCCTGGAACTTGGGGCGATCCTCCTGCCTGAGCCTCCCGAGTGCTGGGATTATAGGCTCAGTATTATGATTTCCTGTGGTTCTTATTCCAAATGACACTTTTGTGGTCTCAGTTCTTGGTGAAGCTTAAAATTTTGTCTTTATTTCCAGGAACATGGTAAACATAATTGTGTTTCAGTCTTTTTGATAACTTCAGTGTTTGAAGTCTTTAGTTGTTGCTCTTGTCTGTTTTTGGTGATCCTGGCTCATATTTTGTGCCTTACTGATCTTTGTTAGGGGAAAATTATTTTAAAATGTATTTTTAGAAAAAATTGGAAGCCCAGAATGCTGTCTTTCAGAGAGAATTGTCTTTTCCTCCTGCCAGGCCCTTGAGGATGCTAGGCAACCCTTTTAGCGCTTTCAGTGATACTAACAGCTCCCTGCAGCGCTGCAGCATGTGTGCCATAGGTTCGCCACCACTAACCTAGATGATCTTGGAATAGAATTTGAAACTTCCAGTGGCTCATGTTTCCTCCTTTGGCCTGCAGGTCCTCAGATCCCATTGATCCAGCTCTAGGAGTTTGCCAGAAATTGCAGCTTGGCTCTTCCTATACCCAGCAGACTCACAAAAGCCTGGTCACCTCTTGGTCTCCATCAGAAATATTGCTCTTCTTTCTTAGCTGTCTGTCCACAGCTGTCAGGTGCTTTCAGGATGGAGCAGGGTTTATCATTATCACCTTATTTTCTTCCTCTGTCATTAGGATTTTGCACTGTTAAACTCTTTCTCTCCCTCTTCTCTGTCTCTTGCCCTTCCAGCTGCCTTGCTTCCTCCTTTCCTTCTTTTTTTAAAAATTTCTTTCAGCTTTTTTTTTTTTTTTTTAAGACAGGGTCTTATTATGTAGTCCAGGCTGATCTTGAACTCACTATGTCGCCCAGGCTGACCTCTACCCTTACAGCACGCCTCCTACATCAGCCTCCAAAGTGCTGAGATTATAGGCACAGGCTGTCACACTTTTTATGGTGTTTGGTTTTGGAGGAGGGTTGATCTAGGTCACTATTACTGTAAGTGCAAGATCTATTATTATGTACCTTTACTACTTATTTTGATACTAAATAATGACTGTGGTACATTTTCATTGTTTACCTCCAGATTCCTTTTAAGTGCCAAGAAACTAGGAATTGTACTAAACTTTGGTTTGTAGACATTAATGAACACTTAATAAACAGTTATTGATGATAAATGATTAGGACATATATAAGGTAGACCAATTAATGTAATTTATTATCTTTTTTTCTTTTTTACTACCTGTTTGTAGTGCATAATAGTTACATTTCATATGGGGAGTTGCACATACATCTTAATTCCTGTTTTCATTGTTTTTCCTTTGCCTCCCTGTCCCTCACACATTTCTTGATCCCCTTGTACATGTTTGATGAACATAATGTTTGCATTCCTTGTATGAAGTTGGTGTATATACATAACACTTAATTCCTTTTTCTCATTCTTTTTCCTTCCCCTGCCTTACCCTCTCTCCCATCTCTTGATCTTGATGGAAAGATCTATCTCCCTATTTCCTATTATCTTTTATTTTGTTCTTTATTTATACTTTGGGTTTCTCACATAAGAGAAACCATGTGATATTTAAACTTGTGTGTCCAGTTTATTTCACTTAGCATTTTGGTCTCAAGGTACATTTCATTTTCCCATAAGTGACTCAAGTTTATCTTTATGGAGAGTAGTACACCATTGTACATAAACACCACATTTTTATCCATTCATCTATTCCTGGAGATACAGGCCACTTCCAAGATTTAGCTATTATGAATTGCGCAGCTGTGCACATTGGTATGCATGTGTCACTCTAATACGATGTCTTTAACTCTTTTGGGAAGAATAGCTGGATCAAGTGGAATTTCTAGTTTCAGTTTTTTGAGGAATCTCCACACTGATTTTCCAGTTTATATTCCCACCAGCATATAGTAGGGTTCTTCTCCCCAACTCCCAGCCTCTCCAGCATTTATTATTTAATTTCTTAATGATAGCTATTCTTTATGGGGTGAGATGGAATCTCAGTGTTGTTTTAATTGCATTTCTCTAGTAGCCAGTGATATTGAGCATTTCTTCATGTATTTGTTGGCCATTTGTACTTCTGAGAAGTGTTTATTCATTTTGCTTGCCCATTTTTTGATAGGGTCTTTATTTGGGGGGGTTCTAAATTTTTTAAATTCTTTGTATAGTCTAGATTTTTTGGTACTGGGACCAAACCCAGGCCCTTGCACTTGTGAGGCAGGCAGCGGAACCACTGAGCTAAATCCCAGGCTAGTCTAGACTTTTTAAGGAAAGATACGTGATACTTGACATGTTCTCCTTACCTTTTACTTTTCCATATTGAGTACTTGGTAAAAAGCCATTATTGTTATTATTCATAAAGTCTTTTTGACTAACCTGGTTTGTTTTGGTTTCATTCTCTACTGAATTAATGTATTTTCTCTTCACTTGTCATATCACTTATATTGTTTACTTTGATTGTTTTTGTTTTATGATTGTAACTTAATGCTGATGTATTATTTAACATTCTTTAGTGCCCAACATAGGGCTCTAAATGTAACATTTTACTTTTATCTCAACTATAAGGTCTTCAAAGACTGAAATCACTTATGAAGTTTTTAGTGTCATAAACAGAACCTCATATGGCATTTAAAAAATCATAGGGAAGCCAGGCGTGGTGGCACACTCTATAATCCCAGCACTCAAAAGGCTGAGGCAGAAGGATCACGGTGAGTTCAAGGATAGCCTGGGCTACATAGTGAGTTCAAGGCCAACCTGAACTACATAGTGAGACCTTGTCCCAAAAAACAAAAACAACAAAAAAGCATAAGGACTCAATGAGTACTTTGGGATGATTTTGTATTTTAAATCACTATTCAGATTCCTGATTTTAAAAGATTGTTAGTCATTCCATATTATTATTTTGAGAAAGTAAGTTCCTGTTCTTAGATACTGAAAATTATATATTAGAGAAGGAGCAAGATTGCACCTTGCCTCAAAGTTGCAGCGAGATTTCTTAATCAACGAAGCTGGGAATTCGAGTAGGTTTCTAAGGTCCTCAAGTTACATACTTAGGTTAATATAACACTTTTATTACTTTTCAGATTTTTTTTCCTTTTCCCAATACAGATTAGTGAGTTATGAGGCTATGTGTTAAAACTTAATAAATTGATATAAGTAAGACTTTTACTTTTGAATATATTGCCAGTATGTATGAATTAGCCTATGAGGATATAAGTGTAGGAGGTCCTAGCTGTAACATTAAATTAATTGGATATGAAAAACGAATCAAAAACAAATAATAAACCATTAAACATAAGATATCTGAAAATGTTCCAGGACAATAAATGTATAGATATAAGCATATGGAAATTTAAATCTGTGCACGTGCTTGCTTATGTGTGTGTATATGTATGCATGCATACATATAGAGAGAACGAGAATGAGGTATTCCACATAAATGAGTTCTTTGATAACAATTTTATTTATTTTATGTTTTGGAACCAGGGATCGAACTCAGGACCTTGGGTTTGCAATGCAGGTACAGTGCCACTGAGCTAACTCCCCGGTCCAAACAATTTTATCTCTTACAAACAAGATTAAAAATAAATACATTTTATACTTTTATAGACCCTAAAATTTAGTGATTATTCTTCGTAAATTATCTTATTCTTTTTTTTTTTTTTTTTTTTTTTTTTTTATTTTTTTTTTTTTTTATTTTTTTTTTTTTTTATTTTTTTTTTTTTTTATTTTTTTTTTTTTTTATTTTTTTTTTTTTTTATTTTTTTTTTTTTTTATTTTTTTTTTTTTTTATTTTTTTTTTTTTTTATTTTTTTTTTTTTTTATTTTTTTTTTTTTTTATTTTTTTTTTTTTTTATTTTTTTTTTTTTTTATTTTTTTTTTTTTTTATTTTTTTTTTTTTTTATTTTTTTTTTTTTTTATTTTTTTTTTTTTTTATTTTTTTTTTTTTTTATTTTTTTTTTTTTTTATTTTTTTTTTTTTTTATTTTTTTTTTTTTTTATTTTTTTTTTTTTTTATTTTTTTTTTTTTTTATTTTTTTTTTTTTTTATTTTTTTTTTTTTTTATTTTTTTTTTTTTTTATTTTTTTTTTTTTTTATTTTTTTTTTTTTTTATTTTTTTTTTTTTTTATTTTTTTTTTTTTTTGGTACCGGGGATTGAACTCGGGTCCTTGCGCTTGCAAGGCAGGCCACCGAACCACTGAGCTAAATCCCCAGCCCTTCCATAAATTGTCTTAATGTTTGCTTGCTTTTATAATCATGTCTCTCAGAATTTGCTATGTCTTCTGTTAGTTTGCCTCTTATTGTGGTTTTATGAAATTATATAATCAAGATTATGAGAATTTTGAATGAGTTCAGAATCAGTGAGTGCTGAGTGGCAGGTAGATACTGTGCTCAACACAATATGTCATAAATTTTTTTTAGTACCGGGAGTCAAATTCGGGACCTTGCCCCCTCAAGGCTTTATGTCATAATTCTTAATGAGTTCAGGACCTATTTGTGTGCTTTATTTCTTGATTACAGTCTGGGTGACTTTCTGATTAATTGTAATGCTATTGTTTGTAAAATGCATTTAACTAATACTTTTAAAAATATTTAAGACAAAAGAGATGAAAAATAAAATAATTTCAATTTCTGTGCTGACCATTCAGTTTAAGAAGTAAAGTATTACTAATTCTGTTGATTATTTTAGTGTTTATTATGTACCAAGCAAGTACTTTGGCACCATTATGTGCATTACAGTGAACAAAACAAAAATCCCTGTCCTCATGGCATTTGTGCTGTAGGAAGAAGTTTGCCATTGTGTGATGATTGTCCTTGTTTTTAGCATTTCCTCCATCTTTTGTGGAATGCTCATTTGAATCATAGGTGGTCCGTGTGGTAGATTCATTATAAGAACCAATACAAATAAAGGATGAATAGACACTGTCTGACATCATAAACATCTGTTCAGGCCTTTAGACTACTGGAGTTATTTTGTGTACTGTGACATTCAAATTTTCATGTTCGTTTTTTGCTTGTTATGTTTTTGAGACAGAGTCTTATCGTATAGTTCAGGCTGGCCTTGAACTCACAGTGATCCTCATGCCTCAGCTCCTGAGTACTGGGATTACAGGTGTAAGCCATGTTTGGCTTTGTTGTGCGGTGAACATTATCCTATTGTTGGTCACAGTTCATTGGCTACTCAAGAGGGAAAGGTTCCTGATCACCTCAACTAATATTCTTGTGCACCTTTATCATACAAAGAAGGAAAATATAGCTTATCTTTTAAGACACTTGAAGTTGGCTTTTTGTTACTTTTATTTTATTTTATTTTTGTTTTGTTTTTTGAGACGAGGGTCTCACTTATGTAGTCCAGGTTGGCCTTGAACTCACTGTGTAGCCCTGACTGGTGTCAAACTCTTGGTGATCCTCCCACCTCAGCCTCCAGGGTGCTGAGATTATAGACATGTACCACCATGCCTGGCTTGAAATTGGTAAATTTAAAAAGGAAAATTTGATAAGATTATGAAGAAAACTGCAAACCAGAGCACTATGAATGAAATCAGAGTAAAGAGAAATGAATAGATACACACCAAAATTTGTGTTAGAAATGAATAAACAGACATCGGAAATTGCACTAGAAGTGCAGTGTCCCCTGGACTTTAATTTTTTTGATATTGTTTTAGGTATCGTCAGATCCTGGAAAAAGCCATTCAGTTATCTGGGGCAGAGCAACTAGAAGCTTTGAAAGCTTTTGTGGAAGCAAGTAAGTGGAATGCAGATTTAATGTTTGCCTTGTATTACTGAGCCAGGACTTCAAAGTCTTCTCAAGCTGTGTTTTGTATCACATTATCCATTTAAAATATACATTTAGATTTCATAATTTTAAACTGTTTACAGCTTGATTATTTTTCAATTAGTCGTCTTCAGAATTACAGTACCAGATAAAATTTTGTCTAGTGTTTGACACAGTAACTGCTGAGAGACAGCATAGCATAATGTTAAGAAAATGGTTTGGATTCAAATCTGGGGTGTGATTCTGTGATCTTGGACAAGTTACTCAGCTTCTTTGTGCCTCCTTTTCATCATCTATAAAATACAGACTTGTTGGGAGAGTAAATGAGTTAGTAAACATAACAAAATGCTTTCATAGTACCTGAAATCTAATAAGTGCTGTTATTAGTGTTAATGTTCTTTTTGAATTGGGAACTAGAAATTTCCATTCCTTAAGACACTTTTCCCCACTCCTTGACCCCAAATATGTCCAGTTTTTTGTTTGTGTTTTTGTTTTTTAGTTTAGTTTGTTTGTTTGTTTGTTTTTTATACCAGGGATTGAACCTCAGGACCTTGCGCTTGCGAGGGACTGAGCTAAATCCCCAGCCCTTGTGTTTTAGTTTTTTGAGTCAGTCTCACTACGTAGTCCAGGCTGGTCTTGAACTCACTATGTAGCCCAAGCTGGCCTCAAACTCATGGCAGTCCTGAGTGCTGGTATCACAAGAATTTGCCACCATGCCAGCTTCATGTCCAGTTATTCTGAAAATCATTCAAAATGTATGCTGGAATATATACTGAATTAAGATTATTAATGATGCTTGATGGTGCCTTTTCCTTTGCATACATACCCTTTGCTGTCCTCACATACATGGCCCATCACATGGGCTCTTTTTAATAACCTTGGTTCTAGACATTGAATCCCTGTGTGTGTTGTAAAATGAGGTTCAGGGTTAAGTGTTTTTATTTTTATTTTTTAGAAAGTTTAGCTGATCAGTGGTAGAGCCTAGACTAGATTTTCCAATTTTCTGCCTTTATTGCCATATACCTTTGAGTAATGCTAGTTTGTATAGTGGTTGCTTTCTGTATTAAGTGCCTAATAGCACTTGTAATGAAACTTTTTCCGTCTAACCAGTATTATTTAATAATAAATTCCAACTAATATATTATAAACTAATTAGTTATAAGAACTGTAAGTTATTGTCTCAGAAAACCAGAACCTACAATGTGAGAATAACTGGCAGTGGTTTCAGAAAAACTACTCAGAGGAGCTTTATTGCAAGTATTGCTTTGTAGGGGCAAAATAATAATTCTTTTTATAAATGTTGATCTTATCTGAATCCAGTGACATCCCCCACCCCGAAAAGCAATTACCTGTAAAATCATTTTCCTCAATGGAAAACCTTTGATATCATCATTTATTTTCACAGTAACTGCTACTTTAAGACTCAAGTATTTTATATAAGGCATGATTAAAAATATGATGAATTTAAATATGAATTTAAAAATAAAATATAATAGTTCAGCAATAGAGTGCTTATCTAGTATGTACAGGGCCCTGAGTTTGATCTCTGGCACCACAAAAAGAAAACAAAAAATAGAAAGAGGAAAACAAAAAAAGTAGAAATATAATTCTTTTGAAGTAAGTAGCATTTGTTAGTGTTTGTGTCAGAGTTATTACTATTAGTGTTATTTAGAGTGCTCTGTGTATGTTATTTGCATTTAAGCTTCACAAGAACCTTGTGAGGCAAGTGTCACTGCCCTTATTAGGAAGCTGTGCATAGGGGTCATAAGGTCTGTAAGTGATCAGGAGTGTGGAGCAGTCTGGCCTCAGTGTGAACTATGTACCATAATAACATGTAAATGTTATCAGTAAAGTCAGTATTTCTAGTACTGCCTGAAGTTCTTATTTGTTATACTTGCAAAGTACCAGTGGTGTAACTGTGCTGACAATACTTTATTTAAATTTCATGAACATTATTTTCTTCTTAAATCCTTTTCTGGAGCTATTTGGAAAATAAGCACATAAAAATATAGGTGTTTCTATGCCTTCACTATCAAAGCCTTTTTCTAATCACTTCTGTTTCTTAGGAAAGTTAAGGTGTTTCTACTGTTTGGGTGTAGTAATTATGTAATCAAGTAACTCAGCATAAGAAAAACTATATAAAATAAAACGATGAGTATAGAAATCCCTGAATAATACATTTAAGGATTGGTTTTAGTATTAATTTCAAGTAAAAATTGATTGCTTAATGAGAATTTGTAAATCACTCATGTTTTCTTATATCTTTTTTTTTAAACAAGTGGTAAATGAGAATGTCAGTCTTGTGATCTCGCGACAGCTGCTGACTGATTTCTGCACACATCTCCCTAACCTGCCTGATAGTACAGCCAAAGAAATCTATCATTTCACCTTGGAAAAAATCCAGCCCAGAGTTATTTCATTTGAAGAGCAGGTAAAAATCTATAGCAGTAGATTTTTAATGTACAGATATGTTATTAAATTCTTAAAGGAGATAATCATTTAGTTTAATTTTGGCCAAACAGCATTTTACAGTGTAAAATCAAGCAAACATCAGGACATTGCGCCTCCAGCTGACATTTTTTCATGTATACATAGCCAAATATTGCCTGTTATGCAATTTTTAGAAATCAGTAAGATTATTAATTAGAGGAAAACTCCAGCAACATGCCTGTAGTATTACAAAAGCAAAATTTAACATTGAAACTAAATTATTACTGTAATTCATCTTGCAGAAATATGTTGTTTCAGCTCACTATTTAATATTCTGTGAATGGAAAATTCACAGAAAAATTTGGTAGTCTAGATAAACTTTTACTGTTTACTTGTTAGCTTAATACATGTCGAATGAGAGCACTGTTACAATAACTTACCATATGTTTATTTTAACTAGTTTCTAATGTCAGTTAAAATAATTTAACATGTGTACTTGCCTTTCTAGGTTGCTTCCATAAGACAGCATCTTGCATCTATATATGAGAAAGAAGAAGATTGGAGAAATGCAGCCCAAGTGTTGGTGGGGATACCTTTGGAAACAGGACAAAAGTATAGTAAATAGTAGATATTGGATGAATATATACAGATATATACAATTGTTCACTTACACTATTTCTCATATTCTGGTGCAAGAAACATGATTTAATAAATTTTATAGCATGTTAGGTGATAAGTGCTATGTATAAAAGAAGGGGACCAAGTGGTGTAATTTATTACATTCATTTATTACATTAATAAATGGAGTAACTAGGGTAGATGTCACTTTCTCAGTGACTGGAAGGAGATAAAGGAGTGGCTCTGAGCTCCCTGACAGAGATTATCATCAGATACTCTTAGTAAGGTGGGTAGTGTGAGAGCCCTGGGCTGGAGCGTGCTTGGAGTGTTTTCCTAAGAAGGGCAAAGAGGCGATCATGTGGGTTGAGTGGACTGGATAGAGGGGAGAGAAATGGGATGAGATCAGAGATCACAGGGACCGGATATATGGACTCTTATTAGCTATTCAGCTGTTAGTGAAATGTGGGGGTGGGGATGGAGGATTTTAAGCAGAAGAGTGACGCAATCTGATTTTTATTTTATCTTATTCTGTTGCAGTAGTGGCGATTGAATTCAGGGCTTTTGAGCTGAGCTACATTCCCATCCGTTTATTGAGAAAAGGTCTCACTAAATTGCCTAGGCTGGGCCAGAATTTGTAGTGCTCCTGCCTCTGATTCCCCAGAGTGCTGGGATTGTAGGTGTATGCTATCGTGCCCAGCTGATTTATATTTTAAACGACCCCTCTTTACTGGGTTGAGGATACACCATAGATGAGCAGTGATGAAAGTAGGAATATTAGGTAAGCTTATGGGCAATTCCGCAGATGGCATGGAGGTTCTGAGAAGTGTTGGATTCTGTTTGTTTTCAGGTAGAGTTTGTTTTCCTGATGGCTCGTATGTAGTGTGTGCAAAACAGAGTCAAAATAATCCCTGAGTTTGGGCTCGAGCAGTTGGAAAGATGAAGTTGCCATCTACTGAGTGGGGAAGAAAGAGTTTTAGATATCTAGTTGGGAGTTGAATATTTTAGGCTGGAGTTTTGAAGAGGTCTAGGCTAGAGATATACACTTGGGACTCGCTGATGTAGTGATGGCATTTAGAGCTGTTATATTATCTGAAATCCCCATTGGAGGGGATGTCAGTAGAAAAAGGACTGAGTACTGAGCACAGCGCACTCCAGCAGTATTAAAAGGTTGGGGTCAAGAGGAAGATGTAGCTGGTGAGGAGGATTGTCCAGGTGGGGAAGGCGCAGAAAGAGTGGAATGAAGTGCGCTGTCCTAGAAGCCAAATGAGGAAAATGTGTTGAGAAGGAGCAAGTTTCACTACTTCGAAAGCATAATGTCCTGAATTTGATCCCTGGTACCAAAACAAAAAAGAAGGAGCAAGTGATCAGTTACAGCATTGATGAGGAAGGAGAAAGCATGAATGCTGACATTACAGTGAGGAGCCCAGAAGTTATTTTGGTGAAACCATTGAGAGTGCAGGCCTACTTGAAATGGTTTAAGAGAAAATTAGGAGAATAGGAGACAGTGGATATGTATAACTCTTTGGGGGAGATTTCAAAAAAGAGCAAAGCAGTAGGGTAGAAGGTGACAGTGGAGGTTAGCCTAAGAGTCAGTTTTTCTTATTTTTCTTTTATGATCCAATGGAAAGCAAAGATTTGCTATTGAGCAGTTGGGGAAAGGATTCTTGGCAGAAATAGACAAAAGGAGATGGAACATAGTAGAGGAAAAGGTTTACATAGGAGCATAGATAGTTCCTGCATGGCAGGGTCTCAAGCCTCTGCACTGTTGACATTGGGACTACAGTCCTTTATTGTGGATGCCTTTCTGAGTACTACAGGATGTTTAATAGTGTTGGAGCTTCTGCTCCTTAGATGCCATTGTCACCACATCCCTGGTTGTTACAGTTGAAAGTGTCTGTGGACATTGCTGAGCGTTTCTTCATAGGCAGAACTTTCCCCAGAGATCTATCAAAACCTCTGGGAACACAGGGTACACAGGTGCAGAAGTTAGTAATATGATGAGGTTTGTGCAAGTACTCTTTGCATCAGTATTCTAGGTCTAAATCCATCATAGAAGTGTGGATGAGAATGGAAGTTATGAAACTGAGACAAGACTGAATAAATGGGAACTTCTTTTAAAAACCAGTTTACTCTGATTTTAAAAGTAATAGGTAAGATAGATATACCTGGCAGAAAGCTAGAAAATTTAAAAAAATATATAGTGCTGTGTGTAACAGTTCATATAAATTTGAGTTGTAAATGGAAAAATAATACAAAATATTAATTATAAGTGACTTTTGCAAAAAACTTGAATTATACAAGTCCTTCCTCTTACCTCTACCTGTCTTCTCTCAAAATCAAAGAAGAAAAGAATTAATTTCAAAGCTGGAACCAAATGTCCTGCCTTGTGATATCAGCACTTTTGTTGATAAATAGAAAAGATTTTCTATGAGGATTAATCTCGAATTATGTGAGGTCTTCAGTTATGTTGTCCTTACATAAAATAATGACCACTGGGATAGAGAAGAAAATGGGAACTACCTGGCAATCTTACCACCCACTATAATTGCTATTCCCAATTTGATATATGTGGATAGGAATAGATTTTATTGATGTTTTAAATACTGTTTTATCCCATTTTTTTACTTAGTGAAAAATGCATGGTGATTATAATCCGTAGTACTGACTATAACTGTATAGCATTCTACCTTTTGTATGCTACAACTTGATTGCTATCAGTACCATAATAGGTGATTTTCATTTTTTTTCCTATTAAAGGCATTTCTAAGTATCTTTATAAATGCATGACCTTGTACATATGTATGTGGGCACTGATATCTGTTAGGATTTATTTTTTGGAGGTAAAGAAATACGAGAGGTAAAGAGTGTAAGAAGCTGAAGAATTCAAAGGATGGTTGGACTGCATATTAACAACTTGTCGTCCAGGAAGATTGTGCCCAGATACGGTTCTATGAATAGTACATGATATACCCCAGATCTGGCAGTTGTTGTTCTAATCTCTTTGCTTGTGACATTACCTGAGGATTAGAAGCTGCTGAGGTATTATGTGATCAGTGATGATAAAAATAGTAAAACTTCAATGAAACATTATTTTAGTTTTCCTATAGTATAATGCAGTAAAAAGTTTGATTTCCTCATATTAACAGAGCATATATACGGAAAACACATTTTGTATTATTCCTAAAATTGTTCTTGGTGAAATGTTGAGTCACTCTGTTTCCATTCGGCCCTAGGCAGTACAATGTGGATTATAAACTGGAGACTTACCTGAAGATAGCTAGGTTGTATCTGGAGGACGATGACCCTGTGCAGGCAGAGGCATACATAAACCGAGCGTCCCTGCTTCAGAACGAATCAACCAATGAGCAGTTACAGATACACTATAAGGTAACAGCTGAACCGTTTGGGAATTCACTTTGTGTGAGAGAACCCAGTCATGCTAAGATGTTCCAGAATGTCTGATAAATGCTTTTATAGTCTAGAAATTTTTTCTCTTTTTTTGTTTTTGTATTTTAGTTTTAATTTTTCCCCTAATTGGAACATTTTCCCACCTGTAGGTATGCTATGCACGTGTTCTTGATTATAGAAGAAAATTCATTGAAGCCGCACAAAGGTACAATGAGCTCTCTTACAAGACAATAGTCCATGAAAGTGAAAGACTAGAGGCCTTAAAACATGCTTTGCACTGTACCATCTTAGCATCAGCAGGTAAACACGTAATTTATGCCTAAATGAATCAAAAATGAAGTTAATTGTCTTGGCTTAATAACTATTCTGTTGGAAAACTTAGCAAAGAGCAATTCTCAGATTGTCTTCTTAATCCAATTTAAACGTGTAAACAGTTTAAAATAGTGATAAAATGGTTTGTAAACTTTAAAAAAGTCTAATGTGAATGCATCAGTCTGTTACCCACAAATTAGGAATAGTTGAGAGTGAATATCAAGTTTAATTTTAAGATTTCACCGAAAAAAATGGAAATCAGATTGAGAATTACCGAAACTAAAATTAAAAATTCACACACTACTTTTTTGAAATTTCTTAAACCTTCATGTCTCAGTTTTAGACATTGCTTTCATCCTTCAACAAATACGGACGATAAAATTTTTATTACATTTTAGGATATAATTCATTTATCTTGTAAAACAGAAAAGAGTAGGAGTGCTAATTCTGAGCCCTGGCTTTTTTAAGTCATTCTGAAATCTTCATTCTTGAACTGTATTTCTTTCAATATAAAAGTGTTTTTTTGTGTGTGTGTTTTTGCTTTTTTAGTTTTTTGAGACAAGGTCTCGCTTATATAGTTTAAGCCAGCCTTGAACTCACTATGTAGTGTAGGTTGGCCTCAAACTCTCAGTTGACCCTCCTGGCTTAGCCTCCCAAGAGCTGGGATTACATGCAAGCACTACCATGCCTGGCTGTTTATTTTTTGAGACAAGGTCTCACTATGCAGTTCAGGCTGACCTTGAACTTACTGTGTACCTCAGGCTGGCCTCAAACTTGCAGCAATCCTCCTGCCTCAGATTCCCCATTGCTGGGATTACAGGTGTGCATTACAATGCCCAGCTAAAGGTGTTTCTGTCTTTTTGTTTTTGTTTTGCGGTAATGGGGATCGAACTCAGGACCTTGTGCTTGTGAGGCAGGTGGCAGCACCACTGAGCTAAACCCCCAGCCCAGCTAAAAGTGTTTCTATATCCAAATGATAGCATGGTAAAACACACTTTTGCAATTTACGTTTTTCATGTAACTAAGAATGTAGTGCTCACTTCTTGGCCTTTTGGGTAAGATCAAGTGTAGAATGTAGTGATCTTTACATGTGAGGAGGTAAGAGTTCCTTCTTCTTCCTTATTTTGGCAGTGTAGAAGATTGACCCAGTGCCTTGTGCATACTAGGCACACACTCCAGCACTGACCTAAACCCCAGCCCAGCTGCTCATCCATTTTGATTGTCTGTTACCTGGCTCTGTCATTATGTATTGAGTCTTTTGCAGACAGTGCTATAGTGATTATGCACATAGATACGTATTCGTCCAGTTTAAATTCCTCAGTCGAAGGGCATTGATAGAAGTTATACATTACACTTTTACCGCTAAACAAAAATGTTCATGAGTATCAGATTCTTCATACAGAAAATTACCCAATATTTTGATCTTTGCCAATATCATAGAAAAAAGTGGTATGTCTCTTTAGTTATAATTCATATTCCATTGATGATAAGTATCCTTTGAGTATTTTGTTGAACACTTGTATATCTTTTTGAGCCAACGCTATGTTCCATTGACCATTTTTTCACTTGTAAATGTATAGAAGAAAACACAGTTTTTTCTAATTTGATGTCTCTCTTTTTTTCTTTTGGCTTGCTTTGTGACATCTTTGCCATGAAGAAACTTCATTTTTTGTCTGTTTGCTTTTTGGGAAGGGGATGCTACAGATTGAATGCAGTGCTGTGGCACTGAGCCATGCACTCATCCCCTGATTTTTGCACAGCTAAACGCATTTGTAGACTTGCTTAGATCTTTTCTGCTCTTTTAAATCATCTCATTTTATTTTAATACTTTAGGTTATCAAATTCTTTGGTGTCAGGATCCCTTTACACTCTGAAAAATTACTGAGAACCCTGGATGACTTTTATTTACATAGATTATATCTGTTGACTTCTATATTAGAAATTGAAATAAACACCATTTATTTGTTTGGGTTTTTTTTTTTTTTTTTTTTTTTTTTTTTTTTTTTTTTTTTTTATAAGGGTTTTTATTTTTTTTTTTTTTGGTTTTTTGAGACAGGGTCTCACTATGTAGTTGAGACTGACCTGGAACTCACTAAGTAACCCAGGCTGGTCTGGAACTCACAGTGATCCTCCTGCCTCAGCCTTCCAAGTGCTGGGATTAAGGTATGCGCCACCACACCCGGCGTAAATGCCATTTATTAATTTAAAAGTAATAATAATAGAATCATTGCACAGAAATATAAGTGGTATATTTTTATTAAAAATATAGCTTCCAAAGCAAAAAATGTTACTGAGAGTGGAATTTTCATGTGTGTGTGTGTGTGTGTGTGTGTGTGTGTTTTCTTTTTTTTCTTTTTGGGAGATGTTTTTTGAGACAGGATCTTGCTTTGTAGTGCAGTCTAGGCTTGAGCTCACTATGCAGTTCAGGTTGGCCACAAACTCTCAGCAATCTTCCTGCCTCATACTGGGATTACGGGCATGCACCACCACACCTGGCCCTTGTTTTACATATTTTCAAGTCTTGTTTTTTTTTAATACCAGGGCTCAAACCCGGGACCTTACCCTTGCAAAGCAGGTGGTGGAACCACTGAGCTAAATCCCTGGCCCTCAAATCTTTTAAAATTTCTAGTTTAGGGCCGGGGGTTTAGCTCAGTGGTTCTGCCACCTGCCTCACACAAGCACAAGGTCCCGAGTTAAATCCCTCGTACCAAAAAAAAAAATTTTTTTTATCTAGCTTAATTGAAAAAAGCTAAATTATTCTAGATAACTTGTGCAGTCACTCTTTTTTAATGTCTTGGTTGAAGTGTATGAAAAATATCCAGCCTCACACAGGTGTGCAGCTGGAAAAGAGATGCATATTTTGGGATATTTTCTGATAAAATGGGTATTTTTGATACTATCCTTCACGGGACAAGTGGTATAGTTTTTTATAGATAAGTTGCAGTGTGAAATTTGAAACCATACCAGTAAGCCTGTCACAGTTTGTTATGTTAAAACCTTGGTCTGTCTTGCACTTTGTATCATTTTCTATACATATAGCATTTTTGTGCCATCGTGTATGAGTGCTTTAATAAATATTGGTTCACTGAGTTACATGGAGCTTCCAAATACTGACTCTGTAAAAATTACATTTGAATATATTACCAATGATCTCACCAGAAAAATTTTTAAATATTGCAGTTATCAAGCTCATAAAGCAAATATGTTTTCCACATACAATTTTTGCTTGAAAACTAATTTTATCTGGAGCAGCGATGCTCTTGGTTGGTTTATTTTATTTTATTTATTTTTTTGATACCAGGGATTGAACTGAGGACCTTGCCCTTGCAAGACTGGTGGCGGAACCACTGAGCTAAATCCCTGGCTTTCTTGGTGGTTTTTATTATAGTCACAGGCTCACTTTGTTCTTAATAAAGTATTTTTCTACATAACTACTGGCCCAGTTGTCTCAGGAATACTATTTACTTATTTATTGAGACAGGGTCTCACTATGTAGTTGAGACTGACCTGGAACTCACTATTAGCCCAGGCTGGTCTCAAACTCACAGCGATCCTCCTGCCTCAGCCTCCCCAGTTCTGGGATTACAGGTGTGTGCCACCACTCCCGGCTTCAGGAATACCTTTTATAGCTGCCATTTTCTCCCTAAACAAAGAAAAAACTGAAGTGTGGCATTTGGTGATTATATCTTTAGATTCTTTTAGCCTAGAATAGTCTTCACATCCTGAAGAGTTCCAGGAAGTTCCTTCATTCTAGATGTCTAATATGTTATTTAATTTACTTGTTTCTTTTGTTTGTTTGTTTTGCTTTGTTTGGTACCGAAGATTGAACTCAGGCTGTTGCACTTGCGAGGAAGGCGGTGGCACCACTGAGCTAAATCCCTGGCCCTACTTATTTCTTAAAATTGTGTATTTCCTAAGAAGTGAAAGTTAGTGAGCTAAGGGTTAGATTTTACACAAGTTAAAAATATTTCTAGGAAGGGGCCAGGGATTTAGCTCAGTGGTTCTGCTGCGTACTTTGCAAAGTCAAGGTCCTGAGTTCAATCCCATGTTTCTAGGAAGACTGCCTTGTACTAATGCCCAGTGTATTCACTTATGTCACATAGGGACACATCATGTCAAGTCGTCCCACTATTAATGGTGCTGAGTTTGGTCATTTGGTTTAAGGAATGACTCTTGTATGTGTGTGGTATTGGGGCCTTGAACTGAGGGCCTCTGCACTGGGCCACCCAACACCAACACCCAAGACAGGGTCTCGCTATGTAGTTTAAGCTGGTCCTGAATTCATTATGTAGCCCAAGCTGCCCTCAAACTTGTGATCCTCCTACCTCAGGCTCCTGAGTGCTGGGATAACAGGCATTTGCCACCACACCTGGCTCCCATCCCTTTTTAAAATCAGAGTTTTGCTAAGTTGCCTGGGCTGGGCTCAAATTTGTGCTCCTCCTGCCTCAGCCTCCCAGCATGCTGGGATTACAGATGTGCCACCACAGCAGGCTGACTCCATTTTAAAGGTAAATTTTCTTCTCCGGACCTGCTCATAATCTCTGGTGTGTTGCTTTGATAATCTACAAAAATCTTATTCCCCATTTCCTTTTACATAATAATTTAGTACCCATTAATAATTTTTGCCTGGCTCATTCAGTGTATGTTACAAAATGGTAATTTGTTAGTTCTGGTCTTCAGCATGAGCTTTCTTATTTTCCTTTTTATTATTATTTACATCTTTATTATTTTATTTATTTATCAAACTTCTTTCTTTTTTATTTTCTACTTTCTTCCTTTTTTGTATTGCTGTGTACTTTTTTCTGCTTATTTTTCTGTGTATAAACACATATTTACAAGTGCACATATCAGAAATGTACAGCTTGATGAATTTTCACAAACTGAACACTTCCACATACCCAGCATCCAGAGCAAGAGACAAAGTACTGTCTGTGCCCCAGAAGTCATCTTTGTACTTTTTCCTAATCACTAGTGCCAATTCCTCCACAAGAGCAATCACTAGTATTGTTTACCTGCTTATTTTATTTTATGTAAAAAAAAATATAGTGCATTTATTCTTGTGTTGCTCTTTTTGCTCAACTTTATGTAATATGTAATGTCATGTGAGGTTGTGCTTCTTCATTTACATTACTGTGTGGTGTTATATTGTTTGAATATGCAACAATTTATCCGATTGCCTTTGGTTACTCTTCTTACTGGCTTAGTTGGGAATAGTATTGCTGTGCACATTTCATATATATTTGACTTGGTGATTGGTATTTATTTGTTTATTTTTCCATGCTGGAGATCAATCCCAGGCCTTTCCTGTGTTAGGCAGGTGTTCTCCCACTAAACTACACTCCCAACCCCTTGACTTTGTTTTTTTGGGTTTTTTGTTTGTTTGTTTTAGGTACCAGGGATCGAACTCAGTACCTTGTGCTTGCCAGGCAGGTGGCAGAACCCCTGAGCTAAATCCCCAGCCCTTGACTTGGTTTTTTAATTTATTGTTATGGTAAATTACAATTTTTATTCTCTTTTATAAAAATTGTCCCAGCTATGACCAAATCATATCTTTTTGACAGGGCCTCATTAATTTTCCCTACAGTCTAGTATAAAAAGGTACCTTAGGCTTATCTCATAATATTCCTGCCCCAGATTTAAAACCTATTTTTCAAGGATTTCTACTTCTTTTTAATAAGATACGAAGATTTACATGCTAGCATTCTATGTGTCTCTTTCTCATGGATTGAACCCAGGGCTTTTGCAGTGAGTTTTATCCGTCCTTTTTATTTTTTATTTTGAGACAGCTAAGTTGCCCAGGTTGGGCTTGAATTTGTGATCATCCTGCCTCAGGATCCACACTGCTGGGATTATAGGCATGTGCCCCGTATCTGGCTAGATGCTAGGCAGTCTCATTTCTACTAGGTGTCACTGTGGTTGGGCCCTTTTTTTTAGGATAAAAAAAATAAATAAATTTTTAAAAATTATTGATGGTATTATTTCCATTAGTTTGATATATTTTATATCAGTTGTCACTTAAAGGTCCTTGAAGGGTCCTGTAAACTGGAACACTGAATATTAAGTTTTTTATCAGAAATATTTGTTTTTCATTACACCTGTTTTATTAGCAAAATAATTCCCGCTCATTGCAGAAATGCAAATAAGCAAGAAGAAAATAGAAATGCCTGTGCTTCCAACCACGTTTAGGTTTTTATCCTGATCGTCTCGTGGGAATGTTGAGTCATCCTTGTTTGTGAATTTCCCTCCTCACTAACATTTGTGTTTCACCAACCCAGTCAGCACTCCCCGCACTTCCACAGTCATGTGCAGACATACAGAGCAGCAGGAATTTTGAATTCCCCAGTGTGTGTTTCCATCTGAGATTGAACAGGTTGATGCTCTGCCCTTGTGTTTCAGATTTCATGCTGTAGACAGATGTCCTCTCTGTGGACTGTAGTATCACACATTTGGTAATTTTGTGCTTTCTCTTGGTGGTCTTGCTGTTGACATGGCCTCTCCTGGGGTGTTAGCTCTCTCATGTTCCCAAGTTCAGGGATCCTGCGATGTGCTTCATAGAGAAAATACACGTTAGGGAGTCTGCCTTAGGTGTCAGCTAGGGAATCTTGAGTAGAAACACACAGAACGAGGCTGCAGGCTGACCACCTCAGTAAAACATGTCCAGAGGCTCGCAGGAGCCTAACCTGGATTTTCCATAGACAGCCATGGAGGACTCACTACTGCACTGGTGGCAGTGACTATGGAACATAACTATCCCGGTAGCAGGCAGAATTGGATAACAAGATGTGATTATTTTCCACTGAGAAATCATTGTTAAAATATTTGATGCACACATGTTTCCCTTAGGACAGCAGCGCTCTCGGATGCTAGCTACGCTGTTTAAGGACGAGAGGTGCCAGCAGCTTGCTGCCTATGGAATCCTAGAGAAAATGTACCTAGACAGGATCATTAGAGGGAATCAGCTTCAAGAGTTTGCTGCTATGCTGATGCCACACCAGAAAGCAACCACGGCTGACGGTAATTGTTACGTCTCACGCATGTGTGGTTTGACTAGAAGCATCTTGCTGCTTGGGCTGTTTCTTCTTTGGGACTACTGGGGATGGAACTTGGGATCTCTAGCATTCTGGACAAGTGTCCTCTCATTGAGCTACCTTCGCAGCCTAACTTGCTGTCCTCTTATAGAATTTCTGTATAACAAGGAATACCGTGGTGCCTGAAGGTGGATGTCTTACACAAACATAAGCTTACAGTATTCTTTTAAGGCCCTTACCAGAAGTGTTTTGTTTTTTACTTTTTATTAATCCATGTTTGCAGTACATAATGATGACATTCCTTGTGGGGAGTTGGTCCATGTACATAACACATCTTCATTCTTTTTAGATCCTCTTCTCCCCACCTCTACCATTTCTTGGTTCCCTTCACTGGGAAATATTTTGTGAATAATGCATTTTTTGGAAAACTTGTAAGAGCAAAAGAATTATAGACTGTACTTACAATACTTTTTTTTAAACCTTAAATGACTGATAAATAACGAAGCATCAGATTGTAACAGCATGATTATCTAGTCCTATTTTAGGTCAAGCAAAATTTGGTACAGTAGTTTGCCCAAGGTCACTCAGGGTAGAAGTGCTGCGAGTAAGAGAAGAATTTGGTGTCATGTTTCCTGGTGAAGGAATGGATTTGCTTCAGTGAGACTGCCTGCGTCAGGAGAAAGGTTTTTAATAGATGCTTGGTCAGAACATACATTATTTTATGTATAGTTAACCTATAGAGCTTTTAAAGAAGATTATTACCACAATACACGTAATACTAAAAGTCTAGATGTAGACAAAGTCGTTAGACTCGCGGCCTTGGACTCCCTGTGTCCTGCAGCAAAGAGAAAGCGGCAGAGTCAATTCTGTGGGCGCTAGGGGAAGGTGTGTACTGTTCCCATCTTGACCTCCTCTTGAATTTCTTGTATTTTATTTCCTATATTAATACTTTAAGAAGCAACTCAGTTGATTCTCATTTTTCTGTCTGAAGGATTTTGGTCCCATAGAACCTTCTTTTTGCATATCCCCTTGAAAAATTTAATGGTTTTATGTTTGGTTCTGGTTCTTTTGAACAGTTAATTTTTACCTTATTTAAACACATCTTGAAGTGTTGAACTGACTTTCTTATTTTGCTTTGGCTGCTAGACAGCTTAAAATCAAGTTTGTAGCCCGTCTGTGAATGGTCTGTACCAGTGGTGGCAAACCTGTGGCACATGTGCTGCGACAAGCTTTGAAAGCTCGGAAAGGTTCGCCATCACTAGTGTCTGTGTGTTTGCCTTGCTTTGCTTTGGTTTTTTTGTACCGGGGATTGAACTGCGGACCTTGCACTTGCGAGGCAGGTGGCAGAACCACTGAGCTAAATCCCCAGCCTGTGTGTATGTGTTTTGATTTGTGGTGGTACTAGGGCTGAACCTACCATTAAGCTACATCTCCAGGCTTTTTTTTTCCCCTTCAGTACCACAGATTGAACTCAGAACCTTGTGCTCACCAGGCAGACGTGGTGCCACTGAGCTAAATCCCCAGCCCTCCGGCCTTTTTCATATTGTTTTTATATTGTTTTCAGACAGGGTGTGGCTAAGATCCCCAGGCTGGCCTTGAATTTGCAGTCTTCTCTCAGACTTCCAAGTGGCTGGGATTACAGCTACACACTGCTGCACCAGGCTGAGTGTAGCTACTCTTGCTTTGTTCTACTTTTGAATCCTTTTATCCTCTTTGTATTCTGTGCAGCTATAAATTTTTTTGAAAGAAGACGTGTGATACACAAGTTAAAAGCTAGATAAACTTTTTTTAAGTTTCCAGAATTGACATAGGTGAGCTTCAGATTTCATGTTGAGCTCTCTGGTCATAAAAGAAAAGTGAAAATATATAATTAGATAATAGTACTAGTATTTCTGAGAAGCTCATTATCATCATGTGGGGCTGTATGTAAAAGAAAGATATTTGTCTTCACCCCTGCTAGACATTATTCCTTCCCTGTTTATCTTTCTTGATGTCTTTCTTTATTGGTATAACATCCTTAAACTAGCAATCCTAAAATGTAATTTTTTGTTTTACTTTTCATTTAAATTACAATTTAGTGGTATAATCCCAGGATTATGTAACATTTATTACTGATCTGTCTTGTTCTGGACATTTTTTTCCTCCTTCTTCCTCCTGTTCTTCTTTCACCTCTCTCCCTTTTCTTCTATTGAGCTCATGGCCTTTGCATTAAGTTCCATCCCCAGAATCCCCTTTTCTTTTTTTTCCACTATGATGCACAGGCTGGGCTCAAACTTGCAATTCTCCTTCCTGCCTCAATCTCCCAGAGTGCTGGGATTATAGCCATGTGCCACCACACTCAGCTCTTGGCATTTCATATAAATAGAATTATACAATAAATGGCCTTTTGTGACTGACTCCTTTTACTTAGCATAATGTTTTCAAGGCCTATCCATTTTGTAGTATATGTCAGTTCTTTCCTTTTTATGGCTAAATTCTATTATATGGATTTACCATTTCATTATTTATGTGATGGACTTTAGTTTGCTTCCACTTTGGGGGTGTAGTAGTGCTACAGTGAACTTTTGTGTAAAGATTTCTATGTGGATATATTTTTGTTTTTTTGTTGTTTGTTGTTGTTGTTGTTGTTTTTTGAGACAGGGTCTCACTATGTAGTTGAAACTGACCTGGAACTCACTACGTAGCCCAGGCTGGTCTCGAACTCACAGCGATCCTCCTGCCTCAGCCTCCTGAGTGCTGGGATTACAGGCGTGCGCCACCACGCCCTGCTTATGTGGATATGTTTTTAAATCTTTTGCATGTATATCTAGAAATGGAGTTATTGGGCCCTGTGGTATCTTGTGTTTATTACTCTTTCACGGAGCTAGCAAGAGAATTTCAGAACAGTTGCTTTATCCCTCCCTCCACCCCTCTCTGCTTCCCCACCCTTCCTCTCTCCCCTTCTCTTTCTGTCTGGTGGGAACTGTGGATTTTCCCTGGAAGCTGAGCTACCTCTCTCACCCTTTACATTTTAAAATAGGGTCTTGTTACAATTGCCCAGGTTGGCTTTGAACTTGTGATCCTCTTGCCTCCAAATTTCTCCACACTCTTTTCCACATTTGTTAATGAAAAGTCTTTTAAATTTCACCATCCCAGTTCATCGTAATTTTGGCTTGTGTTTCCCTTGCAGCTAGTAATGTTGAATACCTTTCCATACTCTTATTTTCCATTTGTGTGTCTTCTCTGGAGAAATACTCATTTCTCCAGGTTCTCCAGAAATCTCCAGAGAGTTCATTGCCAATTTTTAAATTAGGTCATGTGTCTTTTTATCATTTAATTGTAGGAACACTAAATATATTCTGTATATGTGCGTACATACCGACGGCAGATTATTTCCTCCCATTCTGAGTGTTGTCTGCCTCAGTCTCCCCCTCTCCCCCTCTCCCTCTCACTTGCTTTCTCTCTCTTACCCTCTCCTCGCCCTCGCCTTCCCCCTGTCCCTTCCTGCAGTGGCTGGGACTGAACCCTGGGCCTGTTCATGGTAGGCGTGCGCTTTACCACTGAGTGATTCCTCCAGCCCCATTCGTGGTATCTTTTGAATATAAAAGGTTTGTTTTTTTTTTTTTTTTTGGTTCTGGGGATTGAACTCGGGTCCTTGTGCTTGCAAGGCAGGCCACTGAACCGCTGAGCTAAATCCCTGGGCCTATAAAAGTTTTTTGATGAAAGTTCACTCTGTCTTTTTTCTTTTATGTTTTTGGTGTCATATCTAAGATACTATTGCCCAAACCAAAGTCATGAAGATATTCTCTGTTTTCTTCTAGAACTTTTATAGTTACAATGCTTACGTTTAAGTCCTTGAGTTAATATTTGTATGTGGTGTGAGGTAAGAGCCTATCTTTATTCTTCTGCATGTGGGTATCCAGTTGTCCTACTCCTTTTTTCTGAAAAATTATGATTTTCCTCATTGAATTATCTTGGCATCCTTGTCTTCCATCATTTGACCATGGATGCGAGAGTTTATTTCTGGATTTTGAGTTCTGTCTCCTTAAATAATACGTCTGCATTACACCAGTACCACAGTGTCTTGGTTGCTGTAGTAAGTTGTAAGTTTTGAAATTGGGAAATGTAAGTCCTCCAAATTTGATTTTGTCCAGGCTGTTTGTATTGCCATCTTCAGTGTACAGCCTTTTGTGCTTTTCTACGTATTCGGTCATCTTTTGTCTCTTTCCGTAGTGTTTTGTACTTTGTAGATTATAGATTTACGTTTTTGTTTCTAAGTACTTTGTCTTTTTTGATGCTGTTAGAATTGTTTTCTTTATTTCATTTTCAGTTTGTTCATTGATGGTGTATACAAATATAATTGATTTTTGCAGGTAGATTTTTGTAACTTCTGCCTTTAAGAAATTTCAGTTCTTCTACCACTAAAACACCACTGGGAAATAGGAGTTAAGAGGAAAAACTAGAAGATTTGTGGGTAGAGGGCTAAGGATGTAGCTCAGTAATAAAGTGCTTGCCTAGGCTACATGAAGCCCTGGTTAGATCCTAAGAAAAAAGAAATCCTGTGTGGACTCCCAAAAAACGGGATGGAAAAGAAGCAAGGGATGACAAGGAATGTTTCTCAGAATGCTCCCCTGGGGGGCTCTAAATAGGTCATGGACTTTAGCAAGTGCTAGGCAGAAATAGCACTTAAGCATCGTCATGCACCTTCCGGGGGGATGGGGGTCCAGAATTCCATCAAATGCTGTTACCTTTCTCAGAGGAGAACCTTCTGCCTGATTATCAGGAAGGCCAGGTGTCCTGCCTCCTGCATATTTCTCACATTGCCATGGAGTGAGGTACTGTGGAGTTCATAAAAGAATCAAGAATGGGGATTTTATTGGCCTTGCATAATTATTACTTACTGTTTGCTAGTATGTTTATGTTTGAAGCAAGAAAAGGAACATTAATGAGTTTAGCTTAAAGAAGCAAAAGCCCAGCCCAAATAATTAAATTCATTCACTTAGTAATTTCTTACAAGTCATTCATCTTTTCCTAAATACTATTTTTATTTAATGATATATTAATCAAACTATCAAATAAGCAACATTTCTTTTAAATATTGATTGGCAAAATGATGTTATTAATAATGAAAATGTCATATTTAGACATTTGCAGGAAATAGGTACTTTTTTAAAGTATAAAACTACTTTCACACTTATAAATGTCTTATTTATATTTAAGGTTCTAGCATCTTGGACAGAGCTGTTATTGAACACAATCTATTGTCGGCAAGCAAATTATATAATAACATCACCTTCGAAGAGCTTGGTGCGCTCCTAGAAATCCCTGCTGCTAAGGTATTGTCTTGACTCCAGTACACAAAAAAGGAAGTTAAGACACCAAACTATAGAAGCAATGAGAATCAGTTATAAAATATGTAATTGATAAATGTTGGTAACTGCAACAGAAATATATATATACAGAGCCTCAAGGAAATAGAAGCGCATGTAAATTACTTTTAAAATGCTATTGTAATAGAACTGCCTTAGCATTTTTAGTGTTTTGAGTTGTATTTTATGGTAAAGTTACCTGAGGTGGGGGTCTTATAGGAGTTCTAGGCTGTAACACCCATGTCATGTGAGTCTTTGTTTAGGGTCTGTTTAAATCCACTTCGCACTGCTTTATGATTTCTAACTTCTGTAAGATTTTGATACATGCCTTGCTTCTTTTTTCTGTCTTAAACTGACTCAAAGTTAAACATTTTCTCTCTTTGTGAAAATAGCTAATATCATTCCTAGGCTCTTTTTTGAAACTTCCATGCTTGGTTTAATTTTAAAAGTTGACTGACTTACTAGGGTATTTAATTTGACTTTTAGGGTTTGGTTGGCCACTTATAAATTTAAACAGGCTACCAATAGTATTGAGAATATGTTTTAGTTATCATTAATAAAAGATTATCTTCCTTTTAAATAATATTAAAAGTAAATAATCAACTTTCCTTTCACCTGACTTGCAGACCTTAAAGTCATGTAGTTTTGTGTCACACCTCTGTTTACCTGGTAGTGAAATTTTAATTTAGGATTTTCTAACAGTTCTTTACTTGTACATTTGGACCAAGATATGAACCATGACTTTAGTTACCATTTAAAAGATGCTTTCTAGGGCCAGGGATTTAGCTCAGGGTTCTGCCGCTTGCCTTACAAGTGTAAAGTCCCATGTTCGATCCCTGGTACCAAAAAATAAAATAAAATAAAATAAAAGATGCTTTCTTTTCAGGAGTTGAGACTAAGGGAAGTGAATATACTTTTAGTAGTAAATAGTAATTGTAGTCTATTAGGAGTGATTTAGGATTGATTGTGAAGATGTTCAAAAGTAATAATGACCAAGTCACAGTCAGTCTGCTTAGATAGCAAACATGTCTCCCAGTGCTAGGCAGGGATCTTTTGCTCCCCTCTAATTGTTTTTAAAATCTTTTCCTATTTGAGCATTTATTCTCCTTTCAATTTTTCTTCTTTTTTTCTGTTTTATTTTGAGACAGGTTCTTGCTCTGTAACCCAGACTGGCCTTGAACATGTGATCCTTCTGCCTCATCTCCTGAGTGCTAGGATTACAGGTGTGCACCATCATGCCCAGCCTGTTTTTTCTTTTAAAAATATTACCTTCTTAAAAGATTTTTAGAATAATAAACACTGTGGAGATGGAAATGAAATAAAATGAGAAAAACTAGCTGGGTTTTTTTCCTAAGATAAAAGACCCAATGAGAAGAAAAATTGTTTAATTTTGAGTAGAAAAGAAATTTGATAAAAGGATTGGATTCACATCTAAAATTTCTCAACAAGAAAAACAGATCCCAACAATCTTAAAATGACAGATTATACAGTACCCAGAAATATTTAGGAAGCTAGGCAGGCTTGTAAGAGGTCTTCTTCTAATGAGTGGCAGTTAAACACACATGTAAAGCTTAGTTATAGGTAGTGAACCCTACACCTTTCATTTCTCTTATCTTGAGTAACTGTTAAATGTGACAGTTAAAGTTGCTGAGAATTGTTGTTTTACAGGCGGAAAAGATAGCATCACAAATGATAACAGAAGGACGGATGAATGGATTTATTGACCAGATTGATGGAATTGTTCATTTTGAAAGTAAGTACTTTTGTGTATTTGGGGCATAATGAAATAGCAGAGAGCTGTTGTATGTTTATGATCAAAGGGAGTTATAATTTCCTTTGACCCAGAATCTTACTACTGGAATGTACTTATTTTTCTTTCCAGAAGAGGTAATTTTAAAAGTTATATTCATAAATCTGTGTAATGCAACACTTTCTAAGCCGAGGAAAAATTTCAAACTCAAATTGTGTTGATTCACTCATTTACTCATGAGACATTTATTGAGCTCAAACCATGTGTCCGTATGTGGAAGTGGCAGGTGCATTTCCTGTACAGCAGCTCATTAAACTAATGGAGGCAGACATGCATGCATGTCTCTTCTTCAGCTCCTTATTCCTACGTCTGTTGCACCCTGGACTCTGCTATACCTCAAAATCGTTCCACTTGTAAAATTTTAATTTAGAATGTCTCACTCTGGCCATCATCCCCTTTCCGGTCTCTGGTGATCTCTGGCAGCTCCTCCTACTTTTCAACTCTTTGTTGACCGTGTGAGAACCCGTGGTCCTTCTCTTTTTCCCGGTCAGTCCAGCCCTTTTTGTTTTTGTTTTATCTACACTTCTCTTTCCATGTAGCTTAGATCCCATAATCCATTAGTTCAGTTACTCTTTTGCAGACACTGTAGAACACTTACTTGCCTGTTGGCTTTTTATTCCAGCCGTCCAACAAAACTTCCCCATTGTCCATCTTCCCCATGCCTGCCCTGAGTAGCAAGCTAATGTTGCTGAGGAGAGGCGGACCCCAGAGATATGGCACTGTAAGTTCAAGTGCACAGGTCCTCAAGACCACTGAGGCTCAAGGTCAATTTCTCTAGCCCACTGTTTTTCCTGCTTTGCAATGATTGTTTCCAGTTTGGTTTTTCTTAAATCTGTGACTTTTTTCTTCCTCTGTCTGAACAAGCACAAAAAATTGTTTCCTATTTCACAGAAGAAAAAGGCCATCAGTGTGAAATTATTTCAACTTCTTTTTTTTTTTTTTTTTTTTTTTTTTTTTTTTTTTTTTTTTTTTTTTTTTTTTTTTTTTTTTTTTTTTTTTTTTTTTTTTTTTTTTGCTAACTTGTTTTGTTTTTTGTTGAGACAAGGTCTCTATATAGTTCAGAGTGGGTTTGAATTCACTGTGTAGCCCAGGCTGGCTTCGAACTCATGGCAATCCTGCTCAGCCTCCCAAGTGCTGGGATTACAGGTGTGCGCCACCACACTGGCTCTGTTACAACTTGTTGATCAGGTTCATGAACCTCTAGATTTTAGGTGTAGATCTAAATGTTACACTGGAACTCTTTGTATCTTCCTACCCATTTCTTTCATCTATGCTTAGGATCTCTCCTTTAACTCCTGTTCCTGGCCATCCACCAGAAAATAAGGTTTTGGGAACCTGAAGTTAGCAGTTATTTTTGTCTGTTTTATGCTTTCTCACTCTGTTGACTTCTTTCTATGAATATTTAAGCATATTCAGGTCTCTCCTATTTAAACAAAGACACTTTTATTGGCGACATCTTAACTTTTCAATAAAATGAGTAGTGTTGATCTCTCACTTCCTTCTGAACACCACTTTCCATGCCACCAGTGCTGTGGCTTTAACAGCTGTCATCTCCTCCTCCCTATTTTCCTGCTTTCCCGCCTCTTTATCCAGGTGTTCTTCAGAATCATTTGTGTAGATTTTGTGGCACCTTTCTTTTTGAATATTTAAATTCAGTTACTTAGGGCTTACTCCCAGGCCTTTGCCTAACACTACTGAGTTTTCATAGGTAATCTCATCTGCTCCCTTTGATTCAGTTACCACCTCTGTGTAGATGCTGGCTGGATGTAGCAAGCGTCATCTGATTCCAGACCTGTGGCTGTCCTTCACTATTGAGGTGTCGCTGCTGCTCGCTTTGTGGGGTCTTAGCATGAGCACATGTCCAAAACTGAGTTCGCTATCTCTCTGTGGCCAGCCAGCCAGCCATTCAGAATCCGCCTTCTTCCCTCTCTCCAGCGTTCTTAATCTTGACACTCAGTTTCTTCACTGCCCAGAATATACCTGCCAGTGGTGTCTGGAATACATGTACTTTTCTTCATCTTGTACAGTCTACAAACCTATTCTGAATTCCACCTTTGTACTGCTTCTGGTTTCAATAAATAACTTCTTAACCATACAACCAGAGTTATTGTGATCTTTTGCAAACAAAAAAAATAAATAAAAAACATGATCGAATCTTGCTGTTCTCTTACTTGCATTCTTTGAATGGCTTCCCTGTTGTTTGCATAATAAAGTTCTTCACGGTTTGCAAAGGCACTGCCTGGGCCTTTTTAACTTTCTCTTGCAATCCAGCACCTAGATCTTTTTTGTTTTTTTTCAGTATTGTAAATTCCTTCTTCTGTCAAACACCCTAAAATATCCAGCTTCTTCAGCCCTCTCATCCCTGTCAGTGTGAAGAGTATTAATCAGTAGTGATTTTCCTATCTCTCCAGATTAAATGTGGCTTTCAGTTGCAAGTTCCTGTGTCACCCTGAATTTCTTCCCAGCATTGATCCTAATTATTTTCAGTTGCATAAGTGTTTGCTAAATGTCTCCTTCTGCTTCCCAGCTAAGCTTCCTGGTGGAGGGTGTTAAATCTACCTTACCTTCCAAGGTATATCCGACATCCAGTGTGTAGCACAATCAGTGAGAAGCAGTCACAATATGTATGTAGTGTGGCAGAAGGGTCACCAAGGGAAAGACCATTCAAATTCATTTGTATCAGATGAATAAAATAGGAAGTATTTTTCTAATTTTCTTGGACTGAAAATTATAATGGTAAACATGCTCGTAAGGAGGACAGCATTACAGTGATAAAAGAGAGTTCATGATGCCCTTCTAGTCCCACCTCATCTAGATTCCACTCAATCTAAGCAGCCCAATATAACCAGTGTTGGTTCACCGTGTATCTTTCTAGATGCCTATGTAGATAGGTAAAAACATGCAGTTTTTTAAAGTACACAACATTCTGTAAATTGATTTGTAAATTTATTGTACATGGACATATTTTTGGTCAGTAGACAGAAGTTTAATTTGTTATATAATATTTCACAGAATTCAGCTGTTCCCCTTGTACATATTTTTATATACTAATACATTTATTTTCGTTGAATCAAATCTTTTTCTTTTTGGTACTGGGGATCAAACTCTGGGCCTTGCATTCGCAAGGCAGGTAAGGCATCACTGAGTTAAATCCCCAGCCCCCAAATCTTAAAAGTAATACTGTTGAGTCAAAGGATATATATATTTCTTGATTTTTTTTGGGGGGGGGAGGTACCAGGGATTGAACTCAGGACCTTGCATTTGCAAGGCAGGTGGCAGAACCACTGAGCTAAATCCCCGGCCCTGTATTTCTTGATTTTTAAGAGGCCCTACCAGCGTACTTACCAGAAAAGTCACAATTTCGGATTCCATTCATATAGGGGAATGAATCTTAAACAGTCCAAAATGATTACTTTTTTTTACTCTTTTGACATTTGAGGGGGGAGGATGTCATATTGTTGTTTTATTGTGCATTTCCTTGGCATCGGTGAAGTTTAATATTTTCCCTTGTATGTGGCAGTAGCATGCTGTTCTGTGAATTCACTTTACTTTTTCTTGCCCATTTCCTCCTTTCCACCACACTTCTTCTGACCTTCCAGTATCAGTTTCCTGCAGCCTTTATTTTTCCCCCTTTGGTTTTTTGAGACAGGGTCTCACTGTGTAGATCAGCCTGGCCTTGAACTAACTAACCAGTCAGTCTAGGCTGACCTCAAGCTCACAGTGACCCTCCTGTCTCCGCCTTCCGAGTGCTGGGATTACTATGCCCAGCTCCTGTACCTTTTAGTAAAATGATCACTTTAGCTTTGTTACATGTGTTACAAATGTTTCCTGCATCCTCTCAGTTGTTTTCTGGAATGCAGTGCATACTGTAAACACATCTTTTTATTTTTGTGCAACTAAATATGCCAGTATTCATTTTATGGCTTTTGAGTTTATTTCATTGCGAAAAAACAAATTGGAAAAGCCTACTCCATATGAGGGTGAAATTGATGTTTCCCTAAAACTTACATATATGGAAAGAGAGGGAGATTTCATTTAGTTTATTTCTGTGGATAATTTCAGGGCATGATCTAGTTTTTTCTAGATCAGCAGCCAGTTATGCAAGTATCATTTATTAGCTAAAACATCTTTTCTGATTGAGTTGTGTTCTTTGACATAAGTGAGAGTCCACATAAATGTTTGGATGTACTTCTTTCCACTGACCTATAACAATATGATGTACAATTTATAGTAAATGTTATTATTGGCAAAGCCTGTATTTTATTGAATTGAAATTCACTTAACAAAATCAAGCATTCTAAATTAAACAGTTGGTAGTATGGGATACATTTATCGTGTGTGGAACCTCCATCCCTGCCAGAGAAACATTCTTGCCTCTCCGAGAGGAAACCCATTCCTAATGAGCAGTTAGTTCTGTTCTTCCCTCCCTCAGCTCCTGAAAGTCATGTCTGCCTCTGTCTCTATAGATTTACCTTTTCTGCGTATTTCCTGTAAATAGAACCATAGAATCTGTGACCTTGTGGCTTCTTTCACTCAGTGTAGTAATTTAGGTTCATCTGTGCTGTGGCAGGTAGTCAGCCTTTCCTGCTTAAAGTGAAACAATACTCTCTTGCATGGGTGTGCAACAATTCATCCGGTTTTTCAGAATCGTCTTGGCTATTTTTTTGTTTTGTTTTTGTTTTTTGGTACCAGGGATCTAACTCCGGACCTTGCACTTGTGAAGCAGGCAGCAGCCCCACTGAGCCAAATCCTCAGCTCCATCTTGGCTATTCTTGAACACCAATTCCCCCATTTGTAACTTTAAAATTTTGTCCTTGTTATAAAACAAAATAGACAAGTGGAGATCATCTTTGATTTAATAAAGGTGAAGGAGTGATATTTTTATATATTTTGATCTGGGAATCTCTTTATGTCTAAGGTATCTGTGTCCTTTGTTTTCACTTTATTATTTTGGTATTTTGGTACCAGGGATTGTACTCGGGTCCTTGTGCTGGTGAGGCAGGCAGCAGAACCACTGAGCTAAAATACCTGGCATGGCTGTCATTTTTCATTAAATCTGGCATTTTTTTGGTAAATTTTGGTTTTCAATGAGATTTTCCTCTGCTTTTTCATTTCTTACCACGTATCACTGGTAGAAGGAAAAACCTAGTGGATTTAAGATAGTGTCTTAAAGATAGTATTTGCTGTTATTTTTTACAGTTTGAGTATTCGTTAGAGCAGGGTTCCCAGCGCCTCGGTCAGAGGTAAGCAGGGGCGTCCTCTGTGTCTGCACTTCTCCCCGTTGCTGATCTGCCCAGTGGAGCCCAGCTCCTTCAGATGAGCAGGGGCCTTAGATTCCCACGGGAGTGCGAACCCTACTGCAAACTGCATGTGCAGGGGCCTAGGCTGCGCCTTCCTTATGAGAATGCAGTGCCTGAGGCTCTCAGGTGGATGGGGCTGAGGATAGCCCCAGATAGTTCAGATGAGCAGCCAAGTTTGACTGCATAGACTATCACGGATCCATTGTTTACAGTCATCAGAACCCCATCAGTGAGCGCCAAGTCCGAATCTGACCCTTATCTTATTACATGCACGGCCCCCGCTTTGTCTTATTTGCCGCCTCGCACCCAGCATGAGCTTGTCTGGTTATGGTGGTACCTGATGCTGATGTGTCATGTCTAGGTGCGGGAGAACAAGCTCCGGGCTCCCACTGATTGTGCAGTATGCTAAGTTGTGTAATTATCTCATCATGTGGTAGAAATAAAGTGCACAGTAAATGGAATACACAGCAATCACTCAGAGACCACACCACCCCACCCCCATTCTACGGAAAAACTGTCTTGCACAAAACCAGTCCCTGGTGCCCAGGTTAGGTAGGGACCACATTTCAGTCCTGTTAGAGGCTTTGTAACCTAGACATAGACTTGTTTCCCCGCTAGATGGCAGTGTTGTGTGATACAGTAAACAGCGGTGACAAAACCCTGCTTCAGTGTCCATTCTTGTTGAGATGATTATGGCTAAGGTTGTTCAGTTGGTTGTTTTATTTTGTCTTCAAAAGCAGTAATAGTAACACATATTTGTGTGAATATGTTTTTACTTTGTGGTTGGGATTCTTAACTGTCTTAGCTCAGTGTTTTAGACAAGCTTTTGGGAATACACAAAATTTTTCCGTATTTATCTTTTAGCCCACAATTGTTGTGAATATGAAGGAGTAGCTTCAGTTTTATACCCGGCTGTATTTCATTTTCTTCTTTAGCACGAGAAGCTTTACCAACTTGGGACAAGCAGATCCAGTCCCTCTGCTTCCAGGTGAATAACCTTCTGGAGAAGATCAGCCAGACAGCCCCAGAGTGGACAGCACAGGCCATGGAGGCCCAGATGGCCCAGTGAGGCCGCGCACACTGCGTCTGCTTCCGTGTCACACAGACGGACTCATGTCCCTCCACTGCGTCACCACCGCATACATTTCAGTCCTTTTTCTGGGTTTCTTCCCGAAGACAGTAGAGCAGGAAGTGCAGGCTGTTACAACTGTGTAGTCCCCCGTTTGCAGGGCCAGTGCATTAAGCTAATGAGACGTTTTGAAAGCTTTTCCTTTAAACAGAGATGAGATATCTATGACTAAAAAGTTTGGGATTTGTGGTAACTTTGTAGTCATGTAAAACCTAAGTGCTTTGTGCCTCTCCAAATGTGATAATCCTAATAAATGGAGAAATAAGCCAAATAAAAGTAGTACTTTGTTTTTAGTGAAAAGTGTTGAAAAGTGTTATTTTCCAATTTCCTTCAATTTGCCGGACATTGATTTATACCATGTGCCTCAGATACACATAGATAAGTTATAATGCCTGTCCCCAGAGTCACAGGGCCAGGAGTCAAGGCCAGCTGCCAGAGCACACAATGGGGGGCTCTTCATTCAGGAGAGTCAGGGAGGGTCCCTCAAAGGCTTATTTCAGCCTATCTTACAGAGAATGCGGGGAAAGGACTTAAAGCAGCTGGGTCTGGTGGCACACACCTGTAAGCCTTGTGCTCTGGGAGGCTCATTACTACCCTAGCCTGAGGAACTTAGTGAAACTCGGTCTTGAAATAAAAGGGCTCGGGGGATGTAGCTCGGTATAAAAGCCCTAGGTTCAGTCCCCAGTGTTGAGATTAAAAAAAAAGTACGCGGTTGACTTCCACTTTCAACCCCAACATACGAAGCTCTTGGAAGTCAACACACTCTTCCTCCCAGCAGCCGCAGAAAAAGGCTAAGCCGACTGGAAAGTGATGGCTTTTCCTGGGATTGTCACAGAGCAGACCGCCCCAAACTGAAGAGATCACCGTGCCAGGTGGGATGCAGCAAGGGTCGCTGATGTTGGAGCACTAACCTAGTGGCTGTGACTTGCAGTGTCCCGGCCAGGCTGTCCCGGACAACGGTGACAAAGGATCCCTTCATGTTTCCGGCAGGGCAGGGGAGGCACAGCTCCCTCCCAAGGGAGGAAGTAACTGACTCTAAATTGACAGCCAGGCCATCTTCTGTAAGGGGACCTTCGCGGTAAGGGAAGCAATGGCCAGAGTTCGCAGAGCCTGTGTGACCTAACGAGAGGATAGACGGTTCCAGCCTCCGGCTCCTGTTTTTGGAAGGAAAATAGAACAAAACCACCTCTGACAGTCATAGCCCAGGGAATCAGGCCAAAAGCAGATATAATGTTACAGAATTCTTCCCAGACGCCTGATTACATCAGCAGGGATCCAGTATAAGAACAGGATCATGGCCGTGAGAGCTACAAGATACAGACTCTCTTTAAGAAGGCGTTCATAGAAAAGCCCAGAAAAAACAGAACAAGAAGAGAAAAAAATAGAACAAGGAAACCGCAACCTCTTTCAGATATATATAGCAAACACAGTCTAGCTTTTACCCCGATTAAATACAACTGTATACTAAAAGTCTACACATGTTTGACTGTTAACCAGGAGATTACAAGCCATGCTGAAAGGCAAGAAAACTTTTTTAAACTGAATTTTATCCCGTTCCCCTCAAGTCCTCTCCCCTCTCTCTATGTAACAGCTTTGGTCCCATTTTTTCCTTCTGTTTTCACTTTTTGTCCCTTCCCGCTTTCTCCCCTCCTCCTCCCTTGTTTCCCTTCCCATTTGAACGCTTTCCTCCCATTTCCCAACAGCCATTTTACGTATCAGTCCTTGTTTTCACACTCAGTTTCTCTCACAAGAGAAGCAATGAGATATTTGAACGTGTCCGATTTATTTCACTCAAGAGTATGGTCTCAAGGTCCATTCATTTAGCTAATAAATGTCTGAAGCTCCTCCTTCTTAATGGAAGAGTAGTATTCCGTGGTGTAAAAAAACCACATCTTTATCCACTTGTAAGTTGATGGTCATTTGGGCTGTTTCTGAGATAGAGCTCTTCATTACGAAGAAAACATGTCACCTGTGACCGAGACCGTAAAGAAGTCACTCTCGTTCTTTGAGAAATAAAAGTTGTTGCCAGGGACCATCGGGGACAAGGGGAGGCATCTACGTAAAAAGAGTGAGGATTTTAGTCTTTAAAGTTTCTGAATGAAGAAACTAAGGATGGCAACAAGTTTAAGACATATTTTACTTGCTTCTGGTTCCCAGTTCCTCTTTTATCTCCCCGGTTCCTCTTTTTTGGGGTGCTAGAAAGTGAAACAAAAAAAGTGGTGCTAAAATGTAGGTCAAAGGTAGTACAAGGGAGCGCTTCAGAGCGTAAAGTTCAGGAGGCGAGACCTTATCCCGGCCGTGGGTGTCACCCTTGTACGGATGCAGAGCCCTCGAAGGTACCAGGTTTGTACACAGGTGACTGGTGGGTCCCTTCAACCTGCCTGTGACCTGGCGGAGAGAGGTATTGTTTGCAGGCAACTTCGTGTTTACCAGAAACATCACATGCCGTTTTCTGTAAATCAAACAAAATCCAGGAGATGACTAATTCAGGAGGAAAAAAGTTCACAGATCTTCATTTTGCTTGTTTTTTATATATGCAAGGGTGTGAAGTGGATTTAATATGTGGAGTTGAGAGGGCAAACAGTTTAGACAAGGAACTCAGATGCCTCTTGGGTGTGTCCTTTTCTAGCCGTCGTGTAAAGACACACACTTCTTGACATTCTTACACTGCGTGTTCCCGCCTAGAGACCATTGCAAAACACGGTGTCACACGATGTGGAAATCACCTCCCTCACTGGCTCATGGGCCCACAGGCTTTTGGCAACACTGACCAAACAATTCTGCAGTGACACTTTTCCCCGGGAGGGCGAAGGGCTTTGTGATATTTATGCTGTTATCCAGGAATAAATAGTGAAGCAGAAACAGTTGGCTACTGGAAAGAGCTGTGAAGTGCTCAATTTGAAGAAATCGGTTTCTGTGGAATAAAAGCTGCACCCAGCATTGCTATGTAGCCCTCTGAATTAACAGCACTTTACTGAGATAATCCCCTGCCATGGCAAGATCAAAAAGTAAGCAGTGTGAGCCGCGACTCCTTCACGGTAGGGCAGACAGGACAGTGCCCTCATTACAAATTCTGTCTGTCTGGGCCTTTGCGACATGCAGTGCACCTGACCCAGCGTGATGCCTTATTGTTTGAATGAGGATTGTGTTGTCTTTTTTACCAGCTTAGTACTTGAAGTGATAATAGAGCCTGTCTGTTTGCTGTGTCAAGGCAGTGGTACATTTTTCTAGTGGTTTTGGTCAAATAGTTTTATTGTCTCCCCCTCCCGAAATATTTTGAATTAGCAAAAATCAAAATACAGCTTGTCAAAATTTTGGGAATACAACAAAGCACTGCTTAGGGGGAAACTTACAGCCCTGAATGCAAACATCAGAAAAAGAAAAAAAAGACCTCAAGGCAATAATCCAAGCTGCCACTTTAGGAAATTAGAAAAAGAAGAGCACATTAAATGCAAGTAGGCAGAAGAAAAAAATAATAAAAATCAGAGCAGATGAGATAAGAAAGCAATGATTGAAAGTCGGAAATTAATAGAGCAAATCAGTAAAACCAAAAGCTTGTTCTTTTAAAGGATAAATAAAATTAGCCTCTACCCAGTCTGAGATAAAAAAGACAGAAGTTAATATCAGAAATACAAGAGAGCCCTTCGCTACAGATGCATGAATAGGAAAGGAGGTATGACTAGCGCTCTGTCCATACTTCAGTCACCTAGAGGGGATGGGTCAGTTCCCCGAAAGACAGTCATCACTCATACAAGATGCAACAGACAATCTGAGCAGGCCCAGATCTGTCAGAGAATTCAATCCATAATCAATATCCATAACTACCAGGTCTGGATGTGCTCACTGAATTCCACCAAACACGTAAGAAAGAAATCCTAGCAGTTCTCTGTAATGCCCTCCAAAACATACAAGCAGAGAAAACACAACCCATTCTATGATACCAGCCTTACCAAAATCAGATAAAAACCTTATGAGAGGAAAACTAAACTGGGTGTGGTGGTGCACACCTGTAATCCCAGCATTCGGGAGGCAGAGACAGGAGGATCATTTTGAATTCCAGGCCAGCCTAGGCTATAGTAGTGAGTCAAGACCAGCCTGAACTATGTAGCAAGCCCTTGTCTGAAAAAACAAAAAAGGAAAACTCTAGCCCCTTATCTTTCATAAACCTAGATGCAAAGTTCCTTAACAAAATAGTAGCAAATCAATCCAAAAATGCGTAAAAGAAAATACACTATAACTAAGTGGGTATGCAAGACTGGTTCAGCATTACAAAATTGATTAAGCATCACATTAACAGGCTAAAAAAACAACAAACAAGCCGGGTGTGGTGGTACACACCTGTAATCCCAGCACTCGGGAGGCTGAGGCAGGAGGATCACTGTGAGTTCGAGATCAGCCTGGGCTACATAGTTCCAGGTCAGTCTCAACTACATAGTGAGATCCTGTCTCAAAAAACACCAAAAAACAAAACAAAACAAAAAAACAAATACACATTTATGATAGAAACTTTCTGTAAACTAGGAACACAGGTGAACTTCAACTTGTTAAAGAACACCTACAAAAACACAGCTAATAGGTCACATTTATTTATTTGCTTATTTGTTTGCTTATTTAAGACAAACTTCATTGTGCCGCCCACACTGGTCTTGAACTCCTGGCCTCAAGCAATCCTTCTGTGGCGAGCTGGATTGCCTTGGGCAACTCGGTCTGCGACTACAGGGGCCTGAACTGGCGACGCGTGAGAAGCAAAGGCACACACTTGATACACAAGGAATTTACTTTAGTTCCTTATCTCCGGATCTCTACCCTGCTCTCTCTCTCCGCGCCCAGAAGGGGTGGCAACATATATACCATAATGCAACCAATCAGCATACAGAGAACAGATTATATCCTTATAAGCATTCATCAAACACCCACGGGA